GGGGGGCCGGGGGATACTTCATGTCGTGAAGTGTGATCATACAGAGTGTCCCTGTGCGGCAGAGTCCAAGCACGAGAACCTGCATCGGTTTCACACGATGGCAGGTCCGGCGGTCAATGTTGGACTGCACCAGCACGCTTTCAGAGTCCCGCATGGTGGCGGAAATGTGATCAACAATCAAATGAGTGACGATAGTAAAACCAGAACAAGCACAACACGCGGTATTGTCGGGGTGCGCAGACCTTCCCTACTTATTTGTCTGGCTATTCGGATCACCGCTACAGACTCCATCTCAAGTTGACATCCTGTCTTTCCAGGGCTGGGATAGTTATCCTCTGCATAACAAGAACCGATGGCTTACAGCGCAATGGATGTGGTTAACATAATAACATGAAGGATAGTTGGTGCAGAATCTTGACGGAAAGGCTCGGAAGACAGCAAGAGCGGATCCAGCTTCCATCCCGAGGCAGGGAACATCAACTTCCCGATGCGGAAAAAGCAGAGCATCCGATCTCGAGCCGAGATTCTTCCACCCACAGTCCGCCACCATCGACTCCGGAGTCAACTACCGAGGCTGCTAAGTATACTGACTGGTAGCACGCAGATCACTAGCGAGCTTCGAGACGACGACGAGGACTCAAACAGCAAACTAAGTTATGCGACCCTCCAGTTGGAATCATGACGTAAAACTGCGCCAAGTGGTCGATGGGATCCACTGCGGATCGGAAAACCTAATCTTATCGCATTTCGTTTGGTACCGTATATAACCGTACCGTACCTTACCTGCAGTATCCGCTGCCATACCAGTGATTACCGCCTGCACACACGCCTTGCCACTTTCTTGCTCCATACTCTCTGTCTGTAGTCCACCCACTCCTCTGCGACGGCGGGGACAGGCGCATTGCTACTACTATTCCACAATCAGCTTACCCGAGCTGAAGACTGGGTCAAGCAGCGACAAATCCTGTCAAACCAAAGGGAGATGATCATCAGGGACATACGCAGAGGGGCAGGCCGGAGGCATCGCTGAATTGGGAAAAGGAAGAGTCTTGCTTATCAGTGACATGGCTATGGGAGCGGTCAGCCACCAGAGGTTCTGTCGTCTCTAGCTCTAGAGTGTTGCGTTTGATTGCCTTCCCATCTTCCTGGTCGCAGTTGCTGTCGCAAAACTCACCGTCCTCATCTTTAGCTATATGTAATCAGCAGGTCTACTTGCTTAATACCTCTCCTTTTTCTTCATTGCCATTTTCCCAAAGTGACGCGCAGTCATGTTGCAGATCGTGCCTGGTGCCTTCGATGCAGCGCTGTGCCGTTTCCCTACCGAAGGGCTCCAGCGCAATGCGCCGGGTTTCAAGTCCATCCCAGTGCGTGCGAGCGCATGCTCGACCGAGGCCCTTTTAGAGGCCTGGACGGTTGTATTACGATATTACACAGGGAGCGACCTCCTTTCGTTCGGTCTGGCTGACAGCACGGTTGCCGATGCTCGATGGTTCGCAGTGTGCCACGGTGAAATCCCGGTCGACGCTGCCCTGGAGCAGCTGCAGCCGTCGGTTCAACAGCCGTCAGAGGATGCCTCAACCACTCAGAGTTTCGCGGAATGGGCGGCGCTGAGTACATCCTTCAATACTCTGGTGTGGAAGTCAGCGCATGCCGATCAACCACATCTTTCCGAGCTCGATACCACCCATGTGAGTCATATCTTCGACCAAAGCTCGGTCAAGTCAGCTAACAGTCCAGTTCTCTCTCATACTTTCTGTACTCGATTTAACAGAAGAGCTTCGGGTCACTCTCCATTACGCCGCCCAAGCCATCGGCGACAGCATAGCAGCAGCAGTCGCTGACGCAGTCGCGAGAGCGACAGAAGCAATCCGAGACGCACCACATACCACAGTTGGGGAGGTAGATCTCTTCGGCCCAACTTCCTGGGCACGGCTCCAGGAGTTGAACGCGACTGTTTCTCCGACGATAGAAGCTTGTTTGCATGAGCTGATCGACGAAACCGCGAAGTTATACCCAGATCGCACAGCGCTGGAGTGCTGGGATGGGTCCGTATCATACTCGGAACTGGTAGAGTACACTTCGCGACTGGGCAGATTCCTCATCTCCCAGGATGTCGGACCGGAGGTCTTCGTGCCCGTTTGCTTCGACAAGTCCCTGTGGGCTGTAGTCTCCATGCTGGGTGTGCTCAAGGCCGGGGGAGCGTTCGTTTGCATCGATCCCGCCCAACCCACAGAACGTCTGAAGACAATCATTAGCGAAGTAGAAGCCAATTTGACCCTCACATCGCCTGGCTATGTGGAAATGGTGTCTCCAAATGTGTCGCAAGTCATCGCGGTGGACAGAGACTTCATCCAAAGTCTGCCACCTTGCTTGGACTTCCCTAAGCGTGCCAGTCCCAGCGATGCGATCTTCGCAATCTTTACCTCCGGCAGCACCGGGAAGCCGAAGGGGATCGTTCATGAACACCGTGCAGTGTGCTCCAGTATCAACGCACACAGTGAACGACTGAATATCGACAGCACTACCCGGACGTTCCAATTCGCAGCTTATACCTTCATTGTGAACACCTTCGAGCTGTTCACCCCGCTGGTCAAGGGTGGATGTGTTTGTGTTCCTTCTAAGGAGGACAGACTCGGCCGTACAACGGCGGCAATGCGCGAGCTCAGCGCAAACTGGTTTTGCACTACGCCCTCCTTCCTCCGATCGATCAAACCAGAAGATGTTCCAGATATCAAGACTCTGCTTCTGGCTGGAGAACCGGTGCAGCAGGACAACCTCGACACGTGGCGCAGTCGAGTGCGGATGCTGAACATGTATGGTGCAAGCGAAGCTTCCGTCTGCGTGACAGGTGAGCTCTCTGGACCTGTCGAGCGATCCACAATCGGACATGGCACTGGCGTCGCTGCTTGGGTGGCAGACATCAACGACCATGATCGCCTGGCCCCCATGGGTGCGACCGGTGAGCTGGTAGTTGAAGGCCCCGTGCTGGCTCGGGGGTACATTCACCAACCAGAGAAGACGGCTTCGGTCTTCATCTCAAGAACACCTTGGCTGAGGGATATTCGGGGCGAAACATCATCCGCTCGGGCTTACAAGACTGGTGACTTGGTGCGATTAGGCAGCAATGGTCAAATCAACCTGGTTGGACGCAAAGATATGCAGGTGAAGTTGCGCGGCCAGCGTATCGAATTGGAGGAGGTGGAGTTCCATCTGCGTCAGGCGTTGCCTCGCGGTACGGAGGCAGCGGTAGGCCTTGTCAAGCCAGTCGATCAGCAGGACCGACCGATGCTTGTGGCTTTTGTGGCGCTCAGGAAGGGGTTCGATGGCGAGTTCCAACATCCTGACCCGGAGTCAGCGGAAGATCTCGAGGCATTGACCCAGAACTGGAGGAGAAAACTTTCCGCCGCGGTTCCCACCTACATGATTCCTTCGACAATGGTCAAATTGAACCATATGCCCTTGTCTCCATCCGGGAAAACCAACAGAAAGGCTATCAGTGATTTCGCCTCACAGTTGACCGTGGCTCAGCTGACGGGTGCGACCAAGAAGGATCACCGCGAACCTGCGACCGCGACTGGAGTGGCACTTCGCAAGATCTGGGCCGAAGTCCTGCAGATCGAGGAGGAATCCATCTCGGCCGGTGATGATTTCCTGCAGCTGGGCGGTAACTCCATTGATGCCATGAAACTGGTCAATCTCTGCGTGTCTGGGAATCTTGGCTTGAGTGTGGCAGATGTCTTTACCCATCCGAATCTGGACGATATGGCAAAGGCTTCCAAGATGCTTGATAGCCTCAAACCCTTTGAGGATATTCCCTTCTCTCTGCTTCACTCAAGTGAAGACCTCGATCGTGTGCTCCATGCGGCAGCCGAGCAATGCCGTGTCAACAAGTCCGCCGTCGAGGACCTGTATCCTTGTACGGCTATGCAGGAAGGCCTCATGGCACTCTCTGATAGTCGCGATGGAGTGTACATGGCTCAACATACTCTGGCTTTAGGTCCAAGCATTGACCTGGAACGATTCAAGCAAGCATGCCAGGACGTGGTAACTGCGCATCCGATACTTCGGACGCATATCGTCTACCGTCAGCAGTCGGTCTCGCTGCAGGCTGTCATTCAAAAGGCGATTGACTGGCGCACCGGCGAAAGCCTTGAAGAGTATCTGGACAACGACAAGAGGCAGCCAATGGGAGCGGGAGATGCTTTGACCCGCTACGGCCTTGCCCCTAGGGAGAGCGGATGGACCTTCATATGGACTGCCCATCACGCGGTCTATGACGCCTGGACATTGGATCTCGTCTTCGAGCGTATTGACAAGGCATACAAGGGTCAGCAGCCCACTCGAGATACGACCTTCAAGGCCTTCATGAACCACGTGGTACATACGGACACGAATGCTTCCAAAGAGTTCTGGGAGCAGTATCTCGCTGGCGCGGTGCGGAACGAGTTCCCATGCACTGTGTCCACGGCGAAACAGCCAGTCTCAGACTCCACTGCGGTATATGAGATGGTTCTTCCTCGCACAGATAGCCTGCCGGGTATCACGATGGCGTCTATGATCCGTGCAGCCTGGGGTATTTTAATTGGATCTCATTCCGAGTCTGAGGATGTGGTTTTCGGAACCATTGTCTCCGGCCGTAACGCGCCTGTGCCGGATATCGACCGTCTGGTTGGCCCTGGTATCGCTGCCGTGCCTGTGCGGGTCAAAGTTCCCAGCGATCCCACGACCACCGTGAGAGAGTTTGTGGGCAACCTGCAGGCCGAGGCGGCTAAGATGATTGCGTTTGAGCAATTGGGACTGCAGAACATCGGTCGTCTGAACTCAGAGGCAGCCAGCGCTTGCGACTTCCAGACTCTGCTTGTGGTCCAGCCCGCCAAAGACAAACCAACGGTCAAGGAACCGGACTTGACAGCTGTTTCAGATGCTGACGCCAATTTTGGAACATATGCCCTCACCCTGGAATGCACTTTGCAGGCTAACGGCCTGAAGTGTGCCGCTCACTTCGACTCCAGTCTCATTGCTGCGGATTACGTCCAACGAATCCTCGCACAACTGGAGCACCTTCTCCAACAGTTCTGCACCGCGACTACAGACACCAAGCTGGAGGATCTCACCTTCATCAGTGCCAAAGATGAAGAGAGCATCCGGGAATGGAACCAACAGATTCCAGCCCCGGTCCATAAGACTATCCATCAATTGATCGAAGAGCGGATTGCGGAGCATCCAAGCAAGGAGGCTGTCTGCTCGTGGGATGGGTCCTTCTCCTATGCAGACTTGCACAGCCATTCAGCCCGCTTGGCGCACCACCTGGCTGAGCTCGACGTCCAGCCTGAGGATTTTGTTCCCTGTTGCTTCGAGAAGAGTCGATGGCCAGTAGCTGCGATGCTTGGTGTCATGCGTGCTGGCGGTGCTTTCTTGAACATTGACCCCTCGCAGCCAAAGAGTCGCATTCAGCTTATGATTACCAAGCTGAAAGCGAAGACTGTTGTTTGCTCCCCGGAGCAACATGAGCTTTGTTTGTCTTTGAGTTCGGATCTTAATGTGGTTGTCTTGTCTGCAGAGACACCGACAGACCCTGCCACTCGTGGGCTCCCCCCAACAAGTGTCGGCCCCGAGAACGCAGCCTATGTCATCTTCACTTCTGGAAGTACAGGAGAGCCTAAGGGTACGGTGATCCAACACGGCGCCTACGCCTCGGCATCCACAACCCATGCATCGACAATGTTGATGGATGAAACTACTCGTGCTTTGCAATTTGCTTCCTTCACTTTCGACGCTAGCTTGGTCGAGATCCTCACCACGCTGGTAGTCGGCGGTTGCGTGTGCGTGGCGTCCGAGGAGCAACGCAAACGCGACGTTACAGAGGCAATTCGAGAGACCAACTGCAACTGGGCTGCTCTGACACCCTCTTTCGTGAACCTCCTCAACCCTGATGACGTTCCGTCCTTGAAGGTACTTGTTCTGGCTGGTGAGGCTATGTCACAATCTCACATCGAGACGTGGGCGCATCGACTTCGTCTGGTCAACGCTTACGGCCCCAGTGAATGTTGTGTCTGCAGTACGAGCAACTGGGAGATCACTAGCGCGTCAAGCCCTAGGAACATCGGGCGGGCATGCTCTGGTGCCACATGGGTTGTCATGCCAAACAACCACCACAGGCTGGTACCGGTGGGGAGCGTTGGAGAGCTTGTAATGGAAGGCTGGAACATGGGCCGGGGATATCTTGCAGAGCCTGCCAAAACACAGGCTGCGTTTGTTGAGAACCCGAGATGGCTGAATAAGAGGGATACCACACGGCCTCCTGTTGTGTACAAGACAGGCGATTTGGTACGCTACAACTCGGACGGTACGCTGAGCTTCCAGCGTCGGAAGGACACTCAAGTCAAGCTGCGAGGACAACGTATCGAGCTGGGAGAAATCGAGTATCGCATCAAGCAGAGCTTACCGAACAAGCCCGATGCCATCGTCGACATTCTTTGCCCTAAGGACGCTTCCAGTCAGCCTCGACTGGTGGCTTTTCTTCCTGTGCCCATTGAGGAAGTATCTTCGTCGACCACCATCGTTCCTCCACCCAGCAACCGCCATTTGGCAGCAGTGTCGGGACTGGAGGACCGGCTGGCCGACTTCCTGCCCATGCACATGATTCCGAGTGCCTACCTTCCAGTCAACTACATTCCTAAGCTGCCCTCTGGAAAGGCAGACCGCAAGACATTGATCCGCTGCGGTAGCGAGATGACTCAGAGACAGATGGCAGAGTACACTGGGGCGACCGAAGCATTGCGTCCTCCGACTACGGAGACGCAGCTTGCGTTGCAGCAACTCTGGGCCGAGGTGCTGAAGACGTCTGCCACGCAGATCAGCCTCAACGACAACTTCCTCCGGCTGGGTGGTGATTCCATTACCGCCATGCGATTGGCGTCCGCAGCTCGTGCGCAGGGCATCCCTCTGTCAACTGCCACTGTATTTCAACATCCGACCCTGGAGGCCATGAGTGCAGTGGCTGAGACGCTGTCGCATCAGCAGCGTCCCCTGACATTTGAGCCCTTCTCGACACTCAAATCCTTTACCAAGGATCAGCTGTTGAACGAGATCGTGCTGCCGCAGGTGGATTCCCCTGCATCTAACATTGAAGACGTGCTCGAGGTCACCGACTTCCAATCGCTTGCCATTGGTGGTGGGCTCAACAAGACTCGCGGCTGGAGCAACTACCTTGTGTTCGACTTCAGTGGTCCAATTGACCTGCGACGTCTACAAACAGCCTGCGAAGAGCTGCTGAGGAAACACGCAATTCTGCGCACGGTGTTTGTGAAGGCTGAATCTCAGCTCTGGCAGGTAGTCCTGCGGTCGGTTGTCCCCGAGTATACATTCCATATCCAGGATGAGCAAGACCCATCCGAGGCGCTGGTCCGCAAAGATCTCGCTCGCCCACCCCGCCTGGGTGAGCCCATTGTCCGGTTCATGGTCATCAAGAACGGGGCAATCAGACACCGTCTCATCATGCGGATCTCGCACGGGCAATATGACGGCTCCTCGATGCCCCTCCTTATGCAGGACCTCCGCAAGGCCTACCGAGGCGAGTGCCTGCAGAAGCGCCCCCAATTTGCCGATTTCGTGCGAATGCAATTACTCGCGAATGAGGGCGCGGAGGCTTTTCACAAGCAGATGTTGGCGGGGTCCACGATGACAGCAGTGGTTGAACACACCAAGCCTTCTATCACCAACGTCCTCAACACGATGATTGCTGCCATGGTGCCCTTGGTCGCATACAAGGACCATGGTATCACTGCGGCTACGGTGATCAAAGCAGCATGGGCGTTGGTGCTAGGAGAGATGGCAACTACATCCGATGTGGTATACGGCCACATGGTATCGGGTCGGAACCTAGGCCTCGACCATGTGGAATCCGTCATGGGTCCTTGTCTTAATATTGTGCCTGTCCGGGCGGACATAAAGGCAGTAGGCACGGTCCTCGAGTTGCTACAAATGATCCAGCAGCAGCAGACGGATACCATCCCGCACGAGGGCCTTGGCTTCCAGCACATCATAGAGCAGTGTACCGATTGGCCCAGCGCAACGCGGTTCAGCTCGGTCTTCCAGTACCAGGAATTTGGCGCGGAAGAGGATCCCACCCAGCCAGTCTCGATCGAAGGAAGCTTGAAATGTGCTCCGGGCTTTATCTGCCCAGCTCCCGATGCTTGTGATGTGTCAATCCTGGCCACTCCGGTCGGCTCGCAGGTGCGAATCGAGATGATCTTCTCGAGTCATACCATGTCGCAGTCGTTCGCGGAGGCGACGCTGAAGAAGCTGTGCGCGAAGGTGGAGACGATAGCGCAGCAAGATGTCAACACGCCACTGCCATCTGCAGAGCAGCTCGCGTCGCGACAAGCTGTGCTTCCATTGCCTGCGCCGGGCAAGAATGTGGCGAATGGACTCGTTGAGGGAGTTGTAGAGCAGATGATAAATGGGATCAACGCGATGGGAGAGATGAGCGGAATGAATGGGACGATGGAAGGCGAGGAGGAGGAGAAGAAGAAGAAGAAAGAAGGAGGAGGACAGGCCGCCGATCACGAGATTAACTTGTTGGCCTCGGTGCCTATAAATTAAGGCATACATCTTAAAGGGTTTGTTGATTATTTTCTCTGCCTGTACTGTACAGACAGACCATCATAGTAATAGTTTCATTCCTTTTTTTTTTTTTTTTTTTTTGGCCTCTAAATCACCCGCCTATGCATCTATACACGATAATCAAGCATAATCAGTCTGTAACGCTACCAATGGGACAATACATGCCTCGCAGCCAATACTCCGAGACACATGTAGTACGACAGATTGCCCATCCTCGTTCGTCGAACCACAGCAATATTCGCCTCGAGAAAACCTTTTTCAATGTCACATCATCTTCTTAAAGATAAGTTAGATTCAGCCATCCCTATTCCTGCCTGTACACAGCCTGCATCTCACACCGCCACGCCAAGCGTCACCCCCATACCAATGTAACACTATCAACATCCCTTGCATTCTTTCACCCACAAAGAGATGGGCTGGTACTGAGAATCCGAGCCCCCCAGATGATAGATCTCTCTGATCGGTCCCGAGTTGGGATCCACGCCAAAGGCGCTCTTCCCGTTGACAGTCAGGTAATTCTGATCATCGACCCCGAACTCAGACACAACGGCATCACCAGGAGCGTCGGAGTCGGGGCTGGTCAGCGCCATCGGAGCATCTGTACTCGACATGACGTAGAGATGTTGCACGCCGTTGGATGCTCGGTGCTGCGCAGCTCCAGTGATTTTGCCGTGGTTGTTGCCTCCTTTCACTGGTGTGATGATGATTAGTGGCTGATGCGGGAAGGATGGGTCGAGGAGGACTCACAGATGAGGATCGGGTAGTTTTCGATGTCTCCGGTGCCGATGAAGGCATGAGCTATGGGGTTGTCATGTTAGAGAATAGAATGTTTCACGCAGTGGAGAAGGGAGAGAATGAGACATACTCCCGTCAGTAACCACCGTCCAGCCCCCATCAGCGACAAGGGTGTAGGCGGAGGGAAAGGGAAGAGCTGCAGCACCGGCTGCCAGTGCGCAGATAACAGTAGTGATGGAATATCTCATTATGTCGTTAAGTTAGTAGATTATCGAGGCGCTGGTGAGCAGTAATAGGGCAAGTGAGCGAGGTGCGGTGGGCGGCTTTTATAGTTCGAGTTCAGCCAGTGCTTATAACTGCTGCTCAGCCCTGCATCATGATGTTATTCATAGTTCCCATTAGCAAAAACGTCCGCATCCTACTCACCTGGGAAATAATGTCTTGAGATCGGTCTTCAGATTTATTTAGAATAGGGCTGGCTGTGGACGAATTAATCTTCGCTTTGCACTTGTTCCTGCCGACCGGATAATTCACCGTGAGAGGCAGTCGAACTGGCCCGTCTCTTCAGTTTGTCTCCGTAAACAATTGCAAGTGTCCTTCCCCTCGCCTATCGGCTATTTATGATACTAATTTCGAGGGAGGTGGCGGCGAAAGACTGATCTTGGGGTTACTCCGGACGGTGCAGCTCCCTTGAGCCACGGCATGAGGGAGCGACGATCGCTGTGGCGTTGGGACAGGCTGTCGATCTTGAGATTTGCATTTTTGGGTGGCTGAACGATGAATCCAGTGTTCACCTCTCCGCAGGCTGCGGAGATTACCGGCTCAATGATAGCTGGTAACCCTGTGGAGCAATTGCAATGCCTGCAGAAGATGTAACCCTCAACTCAAGTCCTTGCGTGTCGTCGAGAATGGAGTACTCTGGCAGGCGGGCGAATCGAGATGTGCCCAAGATGATATGCTGACTTACCTGCACAAGCACCAGTAAACCACCAGTAAACCATGCCGCTGTCAATCTTATTACACAATATGGCACAAACTGAGATTGGGCTCATGAGCCCGTAGGAATGGTAAGCTGCAGTACAGCTCTGAATACACAGGGGATTGACTGCCTGCCCTTCCGGGGGGTTGGATAAGTTATTCTCGTTCAACGCTGAAAAGTCCCTCTCGGAGACGCAGACGCTTATCATGTGCTTTATCGAGTGAAAGCAAAGGAGAATAAAACTTGGCTTACATTTCTGCTGAATATTTCCAGTGGCATATAACTGTGATGAGCAGTTATCTTTCTTCCAGCCGACAAGTGAGCAAAGCAACATATGTGCCTGGCACATCCAAAGTTAAGAATGTGCTGGTTTAGTCTACTTTAAACATCAAGCAAGCACATACGACCACAGGGTGTGGAAAATAGGGCTTCCCGTCCGCTCAGCCGTACTCAAGCCACACGCCGGGAGGTTAGTAGTTGGGTGGGTGACCACCAGCGAATCCCTTCTGTTGTATGTTTTTATGACTCTTATGGGGAGCCCCAACCCGAGAGGAAGCCTATCTATCTATGGTGGCTGATTGGAAGGCCTTTGCAAGCTGCCTCCCTGGGCCGCATGCCTACGCATGCTTACTTGTAAAACTATAGGGTTATATATACAATGCATACTCGCAGGGCCGCAGCGCTTGTCGATTAACTGCTTATCATGGTAAAGGAGACTGTACAGGCTTGATTGCCAAGCCACAGGACCATAAAAGCCACCTTCTGGACTTATCTGGAGGGCTCCTCGATTACACAGATTTGCTCGCAAGGCCGCAGGGCTAACTAATTAGAACGACCTCAAGCCCTGAAGTGCCTCCACTATACTATCATTTCATTCACCTTGACCCCATTGCGTTGTCCTCCACATTCCTACTCACTCAAAAACTCTTCTTCTGTAGCCTTACGAGAATAACTATAACCATAGCTCATGCATATAAGAAGGAAGAAGAGGCAAAAAAGAAAAAACATACAACAGAAGGGATTCGCTGGTGGTCACCCACCCAACTACTAACCTCCCGGCGTGTGGCTTGAGTACGGCTGAGCGGACGGGAAGCCCTATTTTCCACACCCTGTGGTCGTATGTGCTAATTCGATATCAGTCAACTAACATGTGTGACATGTAATTCCAACTGTCGCAAGGGACCGGCATAGTTATACTGGCGGTATCCGCTCTCTGTAGTTAAATCCCATTATAAAGTGATAAAGAGCGAGGCTTCCACCGAAGGTCTGATCTTATGTTGCGTGCCCAGAAAACTTATCGGCATGTGGATTCCAGAACATTACTCGCACGGTAGGGTGGTATTCTACTGCCTTCTCCTGCAAATCATTCATCTTCCTCACGCATGAGCACAAGCTCCCACACCTATCGGGTGGCCCCCCACAAGCAACGAACGTGGCCCAAATTCATCCTTCAGTTCCAAGAACGCAGAATTGGTCAATGGCGGGGGTCACCGTGCATGCTAACGCGAGTATCCCCTTTCATTTTTTCAATCCATCGGACTATTGGGGCCCTAGATATTATACCAGAGTATATTATTAGATTTAGAAAGCTGTACTCACAAGACACGGGGCCGCTGCCAGCGAATCTGGGTGACACTCGGAGAGAGGGCGCGGAAGAGGCCGGGCAATCCCGACGCATTCTAGGGCAAGAGAAGCCTGTCGAGTCAGTTCACTACCTTGGATGCAGGCAGGAGCATCATGGTTTTTTGTCGATATTGATGGCTTACAAGGGTAAGTTCGATGTCTTAAGAGGCCTTGAACGGCGGTTGAGATAGCTCTTTACATAAGGCTGTGGTGTTTGTGTTCTTCCTTAGTACCTGTTTGTAACTACCCACTCTTTATCTTAGTACTACTTACTGATCGAAGAATCACTAAGAAATGTCTTATACCTACTTAGCGTTGTTTATTAGATAAGTTAAGTACAGCTGAGTAGACAGAGAACCCTATTGTCTACAGTCTGTGGTTGTGTGTATTTTCCCCAGGTTATGACAAACACTTGTATACCGCAAAACAAATGCAACAGTGTATTCTATTCGATCTAGGACGCTGAGCATCAATTCCAGAGCCCGGTTGGTCTGCCTACCGTGGGCCGGAGTTGAATCCGATGGATTTGAAGATACTAAAAACATGATCGAAGGATGATGATGCGTGGAGTGATCATCCGTTGACTTCCCCATCACTTACTCTTTGCCCTGGCAAAGCCTTTCTTCCTTCCAACAATCATCTTAGCTTTTTCGACAGCATGACTACCCACCTGCATTCTGAAGGCTACTATCACCGGATTGGCACAGGTTTCTGCAGGAAGAGCAGGTCTAGAGAGGAGAAAAAATTGTTTATAACCTACCAAGTGCACATCTTCACCGTAGTATGATCCCAAGTTCACATTCATTCGATTTCCCCACACCACCGAGACAAGATTCACTGATATTGATATTGCTTACTAATTATTGTTCCCACGGTGATTGCCTCGAACAGTGACAGGGATAAATCAAGATATGACTTAGTGATATCAGAATACTATTCACGAATCCACTCCAGGGCTATCTAGAATCAGAAACAGCTTGAACATCCACCGGATTCATTCACTTGCCCTCCTCATGAACCAACGTGAAATGACCCGGCTTCTCATCATCCTCCACCACGATCGCGCGACTGCGCGCGACAAAGCTCTTGGTCTGCGTGCCGGGCACCAGCCACGGCTCGTGCTGGAAGAGGGCTGTCATCTCCTCCAAGGGCCGCAGGGCGGTCTCCGGCAGCACCAGCCAGAAGAAGATGGCGTTGGTGAAGTTACAGACACAGAAGATGACATAGTAGCGCCATCCCCCGATGTTGTCGATTGCGATGTCAGTCACCTGGGCGATCATGGTGTTGAAGGCGAAGGAGGTCATCGTGGCGATGGACACCCCCTTCGACCGGGTCTTCGTGTCGAAGATCTCGGCGCAGATGATCCAGGTCAGGGGGCCGACCGTCGCGCTGTAGGAGAAATTGTAGCACCAGGTCATCACGATGAAGGCCCAGCTGGCGGAGACGTTGTTGGACTCTCCGGGCGGGAACTTGGCAATCAGGATGGTGGGGATGATCTGCGTAGGTAGTCAGCGTCCTATCCTAGGAGTTCTTGGGAGTCGATGACCGGCAGCGGGGAACTCACGAAGAACAGACAGTTGAAAAGATTGCCAATGATCTGGGGCCATCGACGACCCGTCTTGTCGATCAGCATCAGACAGCAGAACTGCGCGATGATGGCGATGATGGAACTAATGCCTTGGTACTTGAGCGTGTCGTCGGCCGCAATGCCAATCTGCTGGAATATGGTCGTGCTGTAGTATTGAATGGCCGAGACACCGGTCATCTGGGCCGCGGCCTGGATGGAGCAGGCCAGGAACAGGCGGCGGAAACACGAGGGATCCGTGAAGAGCTCCTTGTAGGACTTGGCCTCAGCCTCGTGCTCATGCGCAATCGAGACGGTGATCTGCTCGTACTCGGCCTGGACCCAGGCATCCGAGGTGTCGCCCCCGGCATGAAGGCGCGCCAGCGTCGCGAGCCCCTCATCCAGTCTTCCATGATCGATCAGCCAGCGCGGGGACTCGGGGAATAACAGGATGAGCGCGGCCAGAAAGACGGCGGGGACCATCTGGATCCCCAGGGAGACACGCCATTGGCGAGAATCATCGTCCGCGAAGTTGATGTAGGTTCCCCAGGAGATCCACGAGGCCACGAGGGAGCCCACCCCCAGCATCAATTGTTGAAGGGATGTGATCCGGCCTCGAATATCAGGATGGGCCAGTTCGGCCTGGTAGATGGGGACAATCATGACAAGGACTCCTACTCTGCGCCCGGGGGAAATGGCACACTGGGGGTCAGCTTCGTTCGTTCCCCAACCACCCACCCTCCTGGAGATAGAGATATATGCTCACCCCAGCCCTGCAATCGCCCGCCCTGCATACAGATAACTCAAACTCTGTGCACCTGTCTGGAGACCTCTGTTCTTGTCAGCTCTCCTCGTCTTGTCGAGCGCTGCTGAACCGACAGATCGATCAATCACGTACCCGCCCAGCAGAAACACCAGGGCTCCGACGAAAATCGTCCATTTTCGGCCGGCACGGTCACCTAGAGGACCGGCAAAATAGGCGCCAAAGAAGGCGCCCCCCGTGAAGACAGAGGTGACTGCTCCACGCTTGGTCGCATCGGCGTTGAAGGCGTTGATGAGCGAGGGACTGGTGAGCGCCTCGGCAATGACCCCCAGGTCATATCCATACAGCACCGACCCCAAGGAGGCAAATACACAGACCAGAAATTGATACCACTTGGGAGGGAGCGCCATGGTACGCTTAGCCAGGTACAAAGCTTGACACTTGACTGTGTTCTATGGCTGCGGGGGCTGGGAGATCAAGCATTTTATGCAGCAACCCCGGGGGGATAATTCTGGGGGGGGGGGGAAGACGGAATCCCCCGCAGGAGGTTTACCCTTTGCTCTTACATGCATCTCCGACATGGCGCTTTGAGCCGCCGGGAGGAGAGGGGGAGGGAGGTGGCGTGGTGTCATTGACCTTTCCGATAGTGTGTTCCTAAAGGAATGATGCAGTCCTTATCAAGATTAAAGCCTTTCAGGGTAATATTCCCTGCGCGAGAAGTAATTAGTCTGGGGCCCCAGGAAACCCACCCCCGCCGGAGTTTGTCACTTGACTTTTTCCGTGGGGTGATTCGGGGATATTGATTAAATAACACGCCCCCGGAGTCAGCTTCAATCTTGTCCATTACTCTATGGTCATAGCAATTTCCCAACACACCAGCACAGTCCCGATGTGTTTTCTGGCTGCACAGACCAAACCAGCCAGCCGTCAGACCCACTCCAGGAATGCGTCAGGATCACACGGAACACAATCACCTCCTCTAGCAATGGCTATTAGTTAAACCAAACAAGAATCAGAATCACTAAGCCATGCACGCCTAAAAGCGCTTGTGGCTGATGGTGGCGTGGCTTGGCCCAGTACATACTAGAACTACTACCGAACTGGATTGCTGCGGAAATCGAGCGAGTTTCCCTTTCCGCTTTAGGTCGAACTTGGCGCCGCTTTTTGCTCACAGAGTAGTCTAGAGCATGGGAGGAGCATAGAAGTATATGTTCTGAGCAACTCCTAAGCAATCTTAGATTACTCTAGAAGTAAATACTAGAGAAGTGATTATTACTCTAAGTTCTTATCTCAGTTTATACAATTTGATTATATAATTTAAATAAAATATATACTATAATATTATATATTTTACTTTTGTCTTGCTAATATATCTATTATTTTTCTAGTTCTTAGAAATATCAAGTTCTATTTCAATAATTATTTTATATTTAATATTCACTTTCTAATATCAATATACCCTTAAGTATTAAACAAGCCTTGGTGATCCTCGCTTCGCTCGGATTGCTAAAGGGTGGGCTGGGCTGCCTTACAGGGCTGGTGGCAGACTTGCTTGTAGGGCCGATGGCAGGGCTGTTGGCAGGCTTGCTCGCAGGGCTGTTTCTTCATAAGCAGAGCTGTTGGCAGGGCTGTTGGCAGGCTCGCTCGCAGACTTGCTTATAGGACTGTTTCGTTATGGGCAGAGCTATTTGCAGGACTGTTCGCAGGACTATTCTCAAGGCTTGAGGGAATACACAAGCCACCTTCGAGATTCGCGAGAGATTTTTACTTATCACACTATTACACGCATCAGTCCTTAGAGATACCCGGTTTCTGAAACAATATGACCATTGCTACCCCTGCACTTTATTGCCACACAGTTCACAGCCCTCCCGTGCGTGGATGTGGTATAGGGGCTGGTCGTTCGGTGCTTTGAAGGCAGATTCCAATGTCGGGAGAAAATCCAGTGCGCCATAGCGCCTCACATTTTCCTTAGTCCACCAGGCCTCAAAAACCTCGTCAGCAGACGTCTGCAGGGCGTCTAAGCAGCGCTGGCGATTGTCATCGTTGGCCGGCTCCAAGAAACTATTATCTCCGTACATTGTCCATGATTGTGAGTAGGAGCCGGCCGTGGACACCACCAGACCGTGGGCGCCGTCTTCATCGTGCATGACCTGAGGAAAACATGTCAACCAGGGACCCCAACATTCAGTGACCTACGACATTTCTTGGCCGCATTACCAGAGCGGGCTTACCTTGGCCTTAAAATCTATATCATAGTCGTCCCCCGCGTGCAACGCCCGCCGTGGAGTTCGCACATGGCCCGCCGAGAAAGAGTCTTGCAGGAAGTGATCGGCAAAAGCGTTTTTCGCATATGCCGTCATGAGGTCGCCGGTCTGATAGGCGTGGGCGACCGCCGCGTCATGGCCGACTTGGTAGGCAAGACGGGCATCCGCGCCGAAGTGGTCCCAGTCGACCGCAGCGAGGTTCACATAGGTTGGAAGCCCGAGACCTTTGCGCCCATCTGTTATACTTTCAAACTTCCAGTCCCACTTGGGGTCATCCACGTATACAGCCTCATAAGCGTCCGCTGGGCTTTGCCCGGCTTGGATCCGTTGCTCAACAGCCGCTTTTTGCTGGTAGATGATCGCGAGTATACTACCTGCCTCCTCTTTTAGGCCGTCGCCTCCAAGAGCTAGTGTTTCCCAGGCACGGTTAAAGCGATTGGTTCTTTCACCAGGATCATCTGGATCGCTAATCGGGTCCCAAGTCCCGTAAAAGTCCCCGGCCAAGGCGTTGATCTCCCCGTACGTTAGCTCCAAGCCGTTGGGCAGTGCAAAGCGCACGTCCTTGGCTGGTCTTGCTTTTCCGGCCACCCCTTTCAACTCCAGAGCGTCGCCTAACAGAATATGATCCGGCGATTGCCACTCTGTCTTCAGGTCAGTGCGCAAGTCCGAGTAACAAACAAGCTAGGTAACTCAGGTATAGGTACCGGGACGAGGCGGCACCAAGCGGCCAGCACCATGCGGGATTTTGTGGACTCGTTGCATGCTGGGATCCGGAAAGGACTTATAGATCTAGTTTGCCAAGTAGGCGATGTATGATTTATCAGCCATGGGGAATGCTTTGACTTCTTATCTGTGAGCAACACAGCCTCTCGGACTGGATCTTGGAAATTCCTCTCAAAGATATGCGCATCATAGTGGATAACGTCTACACGTCATCGCCGTGGCTCAGTGAACTTGGTCACTGACATCTTCGTCTTTCCCCCTGTTGTCTTGCGTCACGATATGGAAGCTTGCTAGAATCTCCGCGCGACTGTTGGAGTGCTGGGAAAGGCGCTGATATTGACCAAGGGAACTAAAGACAAGAGTTGGCATATTTCAACACCAGCATGCGTCAAGCTATTCTCTGTAACTACCTATCTGTGGCTCTCCCGGCTCTCGCGCGTCACGCCTCTAGAGTAACCCCGGATGTCAGTCCGTCAGGCGTCTCTCCTAAAGCCTCCTGGAGCTGGCGTGCCTCAGCCCAAAGATGGCGGATCTAAGGCGACGCTACAGCCAGGTAGAGCAGTACTTCGCCATGGTAAGGAATCACAATAAGCGGATCGGACACACTGGCAGCTTGTTCCCAAATGCTGGAGATGTTACACAGTACTTGAGCTCACACATTCCGATGTCTCTGCGTTGTGCGCGGACTATGAAGGGATAAAGGGGACGATGCAGGGCCCTACATATCAGCATCCGATACCGACAAGCTCCGTTTGCAAATGCTGCTTAGAACCGGTACAGTACGTGGCGTAATCAGTATTCATGTCATCGACTCTGGATGAATGCGGGTCTTCCCCAAAATCGGACTGTCAACTAATCCATATCTGGAAGCTTAGAGACAATTACGCTACATTTAGGTCAGAATTTAGGGCAGGACTTGGTGAGAAATCAAGTAGAGTTTCATTATCACTGGCATGTCACATCAAGAGTGACGTCGCGAAAATCGGTGTCAGCGCACCGCATGCAGAGTGGTTACCATAGCTTCCCTTGGGACGAGTATGTCAAGCATCCAGTATCTTTTACGCTCGGAGTGAGTTGTCATAATCCTGATCACTGAGTTCCAAGAGGAAGAGCACCCAATCTCAATGATAGGTCATCCTGCGCCCCTGTGCGTAATGGGTTGACTATCAAGATGCTCGATATCATAACCGATTCGACCACATGGGAAAGCATATTTCAGTCACACTTGCCAAAATATGTCTACCGAAAGGGATTTCTTGCACATAGTTCTAACTTCTGCCATGGCAAACATCGGTGGTCAAGTAGGACAAATGGGATACAGTGGGGTATGAAAACTGTTACTTCTGCAGGCAGATGAAGAAAAGAAAGAAGATAGTTGAATTGATCATCACCTCGACATGGTTAAGAGGCATGGAGAAGCCATTATCCCTAGAGGTAAATTGCAGATCACTACCTAGTAGCTTCAACCTCTCTCACCTGTTGCGGACTGCCTGCCAATTCATAGGTCTACTGTTATCCTGCCGGACATTGCTTCGAGCGGAGGGATACAACCGTTGCACACCTCCCTGTGTTTGCAAGGCACTGTAAACGGTGCTCGGCTTCACGTTGTAGGCCGGTTTCACCTCCTGGTAAGCGCATTGGCCATCACTGTTCATAGCAAAAGCCACCCCCTGCCTCGAGCTCCACCCGCTCACCCAAGCGATCCCTTTCGTGAGCGGCCATCTCACCAGCGGACTCGCACTCAGCGACGAGGATGCCTTCTCGCCGTCTCGAATGGCCGGCTTGATTGTGGACTTGGCCACCGAGGACAACTTCGAAGACGTGGACTCCGCTGCAACCTCTTTTCCGATTGATGCTTGACCGTGCACACCGAGTTCTCCATGCGCCAAAGACGACCTGCTCTCGTTTGCGACCGTCCTCTCGATGGTATTCACCGCAGCCCTCTCGGCACTTTTGATCTCCGAGCCCAGGCCATTGCTCGCTGACGTGGATCCGATGTAACTGACAAACCTGCCCGATTCACCGTCGATGTTTTGGACAGTCGACTTGACTTGTTTGAAGACGTCTTTGAGGCCAGGTTTCAACCCGGCGATCGAGAATCCTGCAGTGAGCGCATTGGCGACCACGGACTGGACTGCGTCCTGTGCGACTTGTCCCCAACTATGACCCTGTCCCGAGGCCAGGTCGTATAGTGCCGGCGTCACGGTGTCTGAAACGACTGATCCAGCGACGCTCACTCCGAGCTGAACATAAACCCCTGCCTCGATAGCGGTGAGAGCGCCTCCGGTGAGGAGATCCGCAATCGCGCCGACAATCAAACCAACGATGAATACAACCAGACTCTTCAGGAGGCTGGTATGGCCTCCCGGGTCGGTCCTGTTGATTGGATCCCCTAGGCAATACGCATAGGGGTTGATCTCGCCGGAGACAAAAGGACTCCAGCGATCCGGGGTGTGGAATCGCATCAGAACTGGATTGTAAACGCGATACCCCTGGCCCAGGTGATACCAGCCGGTTATCGGATCGTGCCATTGGCCATGCAAGCCAATCGAGGAACCGGTCTCACTGAATCCATAGGGAGTATACGGCTGCTCGTGAGCGGTACTTGGGTCTCCACTGTTGCAGTACGTCAACACTGAGGTTTGCGCGTTGGAAGCCCACAGTTGGTATTCCGGATCCTTGTCTCCCTCCTCTACCTCTTGACCCCAGTAGGTACCGCCTGCATTGATGTATGTGACCCGTTGATTGCCCGAGGTCGTGGCGATGAGAGTGTTTTCCCCACGATAGTAGAGGTATGTGGTGGCCTGCCCAGGAACTTCCTGGCAGACCAGTCTCCCGGCTACGTCGTAATGATACTGGCAAACCGGACGGTTGTCCGGGTCTATGACCGCTCTCAACCGATCGAGAGAGTCGTACTGCAAGGTGCGCCCTTTCTCGTCCCTGGTCAAAGACCCGTTTTCGTCATACGCGAGGTCGATTTGTTTGGGGTATGCTGCGTGAGTGTTGGTAATCTGGGTCAACTGAGTGGGGTCATTAGATGCGTATTGATAGGTAGCCGTATTGACACTGTTATCTTGGAACATGGTGGTCACTTGGGTGAGATTGTCCAGGGCGTCGAAGTCAAATTGCTGGGTTTGTATGGGGTGACCATATTGGTCCACCGGGGCCTGCGATCCCTGGCATCGGTACTTGGTCAGGCGATTCTGCTCGTCATATTCGAAAGACTCATTCTGTAAAAGCGATCCATCTGCGCTGGTCCTCTCCCGGGTGTTGACCAGGCCAGTGGGCCCATAGGACTGAGTGAGCTTGCAGAGGGTATCACTGCCCTTGCTGACCGTTCTCTCCACCTCTCGGTCAAACTCATCGTAGGCTATGGAAGTCTTCAGCGACAATTGACCATCCGTGACCTCAACCACCCCTTCTGACAGCAGGTTCGTCGACGAGGTATATTCAAGTCGGACCTCAATGTTTCCTTTGGTTAGACTGGCTTGTCGCCCGTTGGAATCATAGCTGATCTCATGTCTTCCTCCAAAAATGTCGTCGTACCTCTGTAGCTTCCCTCCCATTGAGTAGGTCGAATGAGCAGTCAACTCTGGCTCCTTATCAACCTGGACGGTATCCTCTGCCACAAGCTGGGACGGGAAGTATTTTAGACTGCGCTTGGAAAAGTCGTCGTCGGCACTCAGAATCGAGGCAGTCTGCTTGTCATAGTCAAACTGGCTCGTGTTGCCCTCCCGCTGAATAGAGGTAACTTCATAGTCCAGAGCATGATCGTACGTGAACTCGGACTGCTGGTCATCGGGCTTGGTAACCCGCAAGGGCTTAGGGCAGATACCGTCGAAGGTCTGCCGAGTGGTTCGCCCACCGATTGTTCGTTCCGTGACGCGCAATAGGCCGTCGACACTTTGTGCACCCAACGTGGTTTGGTTAACCTGCACAGAAATCGGCAAACACGACAGGCTTTGATCAGTGTACTGCGTCAGAAGGGTACGGCCAGTCGGCCCAGTGGTCCTGACAACTCGGTCAAAGACATCAAACTCGTACCGCGTTCTATGGCCGAGCTGATCTTCCTCTTCAGCTAGACGGCCGAGACCGTCATAGTAGTATTTCATGGTACTGTAGGTGGTGTTGTTCTTGTCGATGAGACACCTCTCATCAGGATGGCCGAAGAGGTTCATCTTGGTCTGCGTCACTCCACCGCCCTCGATGTATTCCCTTTGGGTCAACGATATAGGGTCGGCGACAATCCGGCGAATCACACCATTGCTTTCGATTATCTGACATGTTTGGCCCCAGTTGTCGTATTCGAATTCCTTGGACGTGCATTGACTGGTCGGGTCGGCTGTAGTCCGCAGCCAGTCGGTGGTGTCGACCCTGATGCATTGACCACAGTCATTGTACTTGCGCTCCTCCACAACACGGAACTCTCTTCCAGTATCTTCCGTGGCGCCCGGGGAAGCGTCTGCATCCTGCCTTTGGATTGTCATGATGCGTCCGAGGCCGTCCAGAGATTTGATTGTCTGCACCCCCTCTACATCCGTCTCCGTGACTGTGTATCCTTCGTACCCGGGCAATATGTTGTACTCAGTGAGCCGTTTGGCTTCGTAATCCGTGTTCGCGGCCAATGTCACCTCCAAGACACGCCCGATGCAGTCATATTGGAATTGTGTGGGAGTCTCGGTTTGGTCTTTGTGCTTCAGCGTGAGCCCGGTCCATGCGGACACCACTGTTTCTTCCCCGACCTCGAGTCCGTCAAATGTAGTGATAGTCGTCAACTCTGTAACCTCGTCAGGGGTGTCAAACTGATAGACCCAGTTCTGTGTCATCGGATGCTGCCCTTGCAACGTCGTGGTCTGCTGTTGCAGCCGGCCATAGTCGTTCTTCGTTGGATCGGAGGCGTAATTGGATTCGGTGAGAGTGACTGCGTTGCCCTCGTCGAGATAGCTACACTGCTTCACCGCGACAAAATAGTCAGCGGGGCTGCCCTCAATCGTGGCAATCTTGGCATATGTGTACTCTTTGGTCCGGGTCGGCGCAGGGTATTCGTTGATCGGTGCGGCGGTAATGCTCTCGCTTTTGAGGTATCTTTTGAAGCCAAAGGGATCTTTGGGACAACCGTCGTCATCTTGCTTGGGGTCATAATAGGACCGCTCAATCTGAATCCCGTTCTCCTGCTTCTCCAGCAGGGGATTCCCCCAGTCGTCGAAGGTGTGTTCACTTGTCTCAGAGCGATCCCGGTCATTATCAGCGTAGGTCGTCGTGACCACACGTGGCAGTTGGAACTGGGGGCCCTGCGAGATGAATGGCAAACTCTCCTTTTCCCAGTACGTTGTTGCCTGAGTCACTTTGTTTGCCCCCTTCTTGCGAGATACTTCCGTCACCAGATGGAATCGGTTGTGCGTGTAAGTGAGACTCTCCTGTTCGCCTGTCTTCCTTCCCGAGTCAGTCCATATCGTCACCTGCGTCGAATATTTGTAGTTTTCCTGCACATGATATAGATTGTCTTCTTCGGGATGCCAAGTAATCCCAGCATTGCCACCGAGAAAGTTCTCAGCCGAATAGCTGTACAAATACTTGATTGATGGCTGTGAGCTGGCCGGTCTGATTGTGTGCTGAACAACACAGGGAATATAGGGATACGGTCCGGAAGAAGGCAGCTTGTGGCCTTTGGGTTGGTGTTTGATCTCTTCTCGCTGGCCCAATGGGCTTGTCAGCGTCGACAAGACAATCATCGCATTCCCCCGATCCTCGGGGTCGGCTGCCTCGTATCCAAACTCCCAGACTCCCGTACCTTGCATGGAAGGCAGGTGGAATGCCTGGAGTCGATTATCCCGGCTGATGTCGGCAGTGAAAGTGCAAGGCTCTCCCCCGTCCATGGTCCGCTTGATGCGGACAGCGTTATCTTGATACTCGATTTGGAGCACCGAGACACCCTCTTGTTGAATGCCCGTTAGGCGTGGAGCGTCCGAGCCATGTTTCTGCCAGGATAGGGTCAACCGGCGGCCATTGACTGCGTACACGGCCATGGGCACCTTGACCCCATACTGCATTTGGTTGTCAGACAGCCTCTCGACCACTCCGGATTTGTGCGCAATCAAGATATCCCCATCGGCTTCACCCGAGTCCAGGAGGTGGAAGTTGATCAGCTTCTGATCCTCAACTTCCAACTTCCCGGACAACCTCGAGACTCGGTAATGTTCACCGGTGGAGAGGACAAGAATAGCAACATTTGGGGTGGTAGTTTGGCGATAGGACGACAGGTTCAAGGACCATCCTTTGCCGAATCCAGCGCTTTGGGTGTTCAAGGGGTTGAAAGCCAGCGACAGTTTCAGCGGGGGACAATTGCGAGCGAGCACTGGGGCATCGTAGACCGTGATAGTGCAAGTGTATTGCCCTGTGCGCGGATCCACTGCATTCTGAAAGAAGCTTGCAAAGTTGTAGCCCTGGGAGTAAAGGTTGCCGTTGTTACCAGACATGATCACAAGGAGTACCTCTGGCGAAGAATCCGATTGAGGCTAGTTTTTTTGGTGAGATTTGAGTGGTTGGGATGACGCCGTTGGTGGACCGAGATGACCTGGAATGATCAACCATTTTTGAACGACGGAGCCTGTAGCTCTTTTTCACTGTGAATGTTTGTGTCACGCAGTCTTCCGGTCAGCATGACGGATATCAGATCCTAGACCAGTGACTGCTACACAATATTCCGGTACAGAAATGGCCTCCAGCTCCTGTTGAATGTGTGTGTAACGCAGTCTTGAGGTCAGAATGACAGCTATAATATCCTAGACCAGTTGATTGGTACACCAGACTCCGGTTAGAAAGAGGCTGCAGCTCTTGGTATGTTGCCTGAGACAGTGACATATACATTACCGGGGTAACATTCCATACTCCCGCCTATCCAATGAATATTCTATGCAGGTGAGGTAGTACAGAATTCCCCCAGAGTCTCAGCCTTCATCTTTTCCTCTTCAGGTATCGTTAGAAACATATAGATCCTGCGGGATAAACTATAAATAACGGTTTTAACCCTCTCAGAAGTCTTTACTCAACCAAGGTTCCAGTTCCTCTCAGGCCCAGATCCTCACAGCCTCGCTATCCTGTGTCTTATTCCCAGGTATGCCCATGCTTATAACATCATAGATCTACAAGGACGCTCATCTGCTTTCATCCCACCCACAGACATTACCACAGTTCGCGGGCTAGACCCAGAATATTCCCAATCCGGCCTGAACAATTTGACCATTGCGTAAGTCGACAGAGTTCTATGCCCGTGCACTTGAAGGCCCAGCTTAATGATGAGATCAGTCGGTCACAATGATGTTCGCAGCGCGCGGCCTTGCTACCTTGGTTATGTTGGCGACCACCGCCCTTGGTATCCCATGCTACAAACATGCGCGAGACCCAACTGGAAAGAACTGCGTGGACTTGAATAAGTTCGGGCAATTTGCAAGTGACTGGTGTGCCGATAACTTCAATACAAGCAGTGGGGACTGGCAAATGTACCCTGATGGTGAGGGAAATACCGGGTCGATTGGGAAACTCGGGCAATTCAATGACTCGGCCTCGTGCAAAGCTGCCGCACAAGAGTCCATTGACACCTGCAAGGCCGGTGGCTGGGATGGGGCTGTCTGGAGTGCGGATGGTGTGAACCTGAACCTCAACTTCTGTGCATGGGTTGATCCCTCAGCTTAGACATGTATTCGTCGATAGTATTGTGGTGCGCTCCATTGTAGGCACCGTTCTTGAACAATGTCAATTGTCGTCGATCACTACAAGCCACCTTAGCTGCATGTGTTGAAATGTCCGAGCAGATTTGATCTACATCCCTTGAATTAGCATCGTTCAGCATATGGCATATCGATGGAAAAGCACTATCACCTGTTTACAGCAAAGCACAAGCCTATTGTTGTAGTAAGATAAAACCCCCTCACTTTACAACCCTCATATATGTTTACATTCTTGAAGAAAGAAGAAACGTGAATCCATATAGTTGTTATTATAGTTTGTTACGTACAACTGCCTGTTTCTTGCCTAGGTTGATCCCCTCTAAGCCACGCAGTAACGAGAACCATTTAACGATAGTGGCTGTGTCATATAGACGCGGCGTGGTTCCTCAAATAGCACAGTGGTGGAAGTTCCTGGAGGAAGCAGCTTCTCCTATCTGTTAACTTTGGCCCTGGTGTGCGCAGGAGCTCGTGCTCACCTACCTAGCAGTGATCGACGTAGTGTCCCTCACCCAAGGCATAGCATTTATCCTTGAACGTCTGGGCCTCGCTGCCCACATCACAGTAATCCTCGGCCTTACGATAACACCAATTCAGGTCCTTCCCCAAGGAATCGCAGATTGCCTTTGTCTCCACATAATCGTCATTGACGGAATTATCAGGATACTTGCATCGGTAACAGTTATCACCGCAACTGATGACTGTAGCAGCGAAAAGGATAATAGGCAGGAATCTCATGATGATCGAAAGAATTAAGTGGTTGGAGGATGATGGTTAGGTGGTAGATATAAGTGCGTAGCTTAATGTGAAGTCTTGAAAAGGAATAGCTGTTGGTGTGCAAAGAAGCGGCCTTTGATTTACTCCCGAGAAAGGGGGGATATTTATAATCTTGGGCCTACTTGAATACAACTCATCAGATCATGGTCACGTCAAGCTTCTTGATCATTGATGACGCACAGCGTCGAGTGCATGTGGTTGAATATAGACATCATAGATTACAGCATGTTGGATCTGGCAAAGTTGACAGTCAGATTCTAGCACAGAAACTGCGGATGGCCCACTCAGTGGAACGACACAACCAGTCGCCCTGTGACGTGGGAAAAGTAGGTTGTATCTGCTTGCAGGAATCTCACAAGTGGTCCATGGGGTCGCTGCTGCGGGTGATGAATGCGGTATGCAACCAGATTACGTTCTCAATACATAGTATAGTGTCTTTGCAGGGCAGGGGGAGTTAAGACATAAGATAACAAGGCTGTGGGGATCTAGGCCTAGGGAAGAATCAAATCTTGGGAGTCAAGACTCAAGAAAGGATTAATAACCTTATTTCTCAATTAATACATTACGTAGTATGTCCAGTTAACCGCCATGACGGGATGTGGAGCAGCACCGGCGGGGGGAGGCAACCTTGTATACAAGCATGCGGTAGCAAGGCTCAGCGAGGTTTGAGCGGCACGTGGGAGCACCGTGACTATTGTAGGGCAGACTTGGAAGCAGCCTGGAGGACGGCAAGAACCCAATAGCTGGGCAATTCCCGGTGATCAGAGGCCTTGCCTGAGCCAGTGGGGTCAAGTGAGGGGGTGAGCTGAAAACAACCCGCAGGTCTTGACGATGTCATACACAAACATGAATACCTTCTCGGCAGGCCAGATGGAAAGTCGGATCCAGCAGGGATTGACGAACCATCCCGGGAGATGCTTTGCGGACGCATCTCTAGTCGTATCGAGTAAAGATTGTTGGTCTGTCGGCTAGCCACAGTGATCAGCCCTCTGTTCTGTAAGACATCCCACGTGGTTCAGATTACGTGTGTTAGTAGGAATGCATGTTTATCATGAACTTGGATAGTGAGAAACAGATTTTGATATGCGAGGAAGCGTCTCAATCATGACCTTGTCTAGAAGCATAGAATTCAGCTATTGAGACGGGACAGGTGGCATGGGATAGGTGGCATGTGGCATGTGGCATGTTCAAGGTCGAGAGCTGAGATGCAGGAGAGCGAACCAGGGCTGATATGATCTGCAAGCCCCGACAGGCATAACCCTGATAGAAATCCACAGTAATGGTCACGCTGTGCTCCTTTTCAGTCCACCACGAGCTGGTTCGGATGGAGGAGGTGCCAAGTAATCCTAATAGAGCCATCAACAATTCCGAAGTGAGATTGCGGCTGTACGATATCATGGTCACGTGACCTCGGACCTCTGAACACCTCGCGGGCAACCGAGTGTCCTAAGAAATAACAACACCAATTAAGCAACATATCTGTCACAGCGGCGGTCCACATTGCTCAGTATTGTGGAGTTGGGCGACAGCATTATGCCAAACTGACAGTTTTTGGTCTAGCGCAGACATATCTTGCAGGACTACTCCATTCTATTAGTAAGCCTAACGAACTGGATTGCTGCGGAAATTCAATGACTTTCCTGTTCCACTTTAGGCTGGACTTGGTGCTCTTTAGTGACCAAAATATTGGTATGGCAATGAGACCGAAGAGAACGGAGCTTTGGGGAAGGATTTGATTCCTCTGATGAAGCTGAAGAAAGTAACGCATTGGATGATACACTGAAATTTTACTTGGGGGATGAACAAGACCATACCCGGGCTGAACTAGCTAAGGTTTGTACTCAGGATACGAATATGTTAGCATGGTGGAGGACCTAGGTCAGGGATACAGCATTCTTGATTGGCAAGATATATACTGCGTTTCCACCCATATTTGGCTGGTTAAGCATCACAATAACTGACTAAAGCCTGCATACCTCGGATTAGACAACACTCATGAATGCGGGGTTCAACAGACTCGGGAAAGATGTTGATCCGTGTCCCACCCCCAGCTATTACCCCGCTCACGATAGTATGAGTGGAAGCAATTCTACATGATTCTGATATCGATATCTTCATCAAATCTTTAGAGTCAAGATACTGTTTAAGACGCCGAGATATTATCCAAGTGATGCAGCAGCGGAAGCACATCTGCACACGTTGCCAAAAAGGCTTCAGAACGGCTCATGCTAAGCAGCAACGTATTTTAGATTCACCCAATCACTGGGTCTGCCATGAATGCTCCTCGCCGTTAGATTATTCAACCGAAGAAGAGCTGAACGAGCATCTTGAACATGATCATCACATATGTACGACTTGTGATCGAAAGTTCAGCGCCTCCCGCCAGCTATTCCAGCACGACATAGATAAGCACAATATGTGTGCATTGTGCCGTCGATATTTTAATAACCCGTCTAATTTGAAAAGTGTTTGTTTATCATCAAATAAGGGGTGACGAGTGGCTAAGAAAATATCTCATAGCATAAGATTTCTCATGCTAAAAGGAACATTGGCTGCCCTGGCTGCTCTCGTCGGTTCCCCACGAATTCCGCAATGATGCTGCACCTCGAAGCTGGGACATGCGATTCCGGCGTCGATGTCGACATGATAAACCAGCTAGCTTTTGAGTGCTACGAAGCACTGCAGTATAAGTCTTCGAATGCGAACTTCAACTTCGAATGCCCAACCTGCCAAACACCATTCGCTTATATGAGCGGTATCTTGCAGCACGCAGAAAGTGACATTTGTGAAGTAGGCTTGGATAGTATAAGTCCGCTTAGGATATTTCTTGAATTTGCTCGGTCTAGCATCGAGTGCGAAAGCAGCGACTCCTGACATTAGCATAGTGAAGAGACAATCGTCTTCTTATATGGAAAAACTGGGATTTGCGGCAAATCGTGTGCTAAAATCTATAAATATCTATGACTACGACGAAGTGTGACGAAGTTTGACGAACAATAAAAGCACTATACAAGCCCTAGACCGATCTAGACCGGTTTATAATCGTGTCACTCCTGAATATCATCAACGAAATGTCGCGCGATCCCAACTACAACGCCTTTCTTGACGAAGAATCTCAATCTCTGTCTGTTGATCTGTCTGAGGCCAAGGTATTTGTAAATGCGATGTCGCATGCTTTCTCGACGTTCGTGTCAGCTGCCAGATTGAATGTTCTTGGACGACTGTATCCAGAGGTAGATTTGGAATCATGATTGCATCGTCATGAATAGGGTCCGGATGAGGGAGTAATGGCAGAGAACCACCTGAAGTATTTATTGTTGATGCTTGAGCAGACTGCGTAGGTAAAAGATGGATGTTAATTGGTGCCGATGGCGGTGAATCATTTGGCAATTGTCTTTCAGTTTCGTGTTGTCTTTTAACTGATTTTGCTTTTCTGCAAATGATTGTTGTCGTATCCCATCTGATATATTATTGTAAGATTTAATATATAGATTCTGCTTTTTTATTAAACTAATAAGATGTCTAAGATGGTGTATCTTGTGTTAGAAATGCTTCTTTCTTACAAGGTCCTGCTAGCAGTGCCTGTTATGATTACCATATGGTGGCTCAGGACATTGAAATGTATTGTAGACAGGGTGCCAAGGCGAGCATTGACCCAAGATTTGCTCTGTATGAATCTGGGCATCCCTATCGGTAAGTATGGTCCTGGTCACTGAGAGAGCACCGCGCTTTGCCCCACCGTGAGACTTATTTGTCTGCAAGGTAATTTAGTATAAATATCAAGTTTAGTCTTCTTTCCCCTATGTAATAGATTTGTCTACTGAAGGAGCTGCCTCTCTTTAATAGTTAAACCAATATCAAGACCCGGAAAGTTTTGATGAAGATCATTGGCTGAATAATCATTTATCAACATCAGAATAGTGGTTTATTTGACCTAGTCCTTCGGTAAGAAATATTGATCGCCGCTTGATATACAGGACTTTGTTCTCAAACGTCTCTTGCCAACACGCATTAGGCGCTATGGCGATATCTGGTTGTGTGACCCTTATGACTAGAGACTAATTAAGAGCTATTATGGAGAAGTTAAGTAAGTAGTAGATAATAGACTATATACTAGAAAGATAACTATTATAAAATAGCTATAAAGAGTAATATATCATATATCTATAAGAATAAGCATAAGCCTCTGCGAATCGTCCTACGATACCCAGAGCGTCCAATGTACCGATAAACTGGACGGAGGAGAGCACGATCGTTTCATGCACCACATGGACCAGTCCGCAGATATTCACCAAAACCATCGCACAGCCCGTTTTCTAAGTTCCCGCTTCAATCACGATCGTCCGTGGAAGACCCTGCTGCGTTCCCGGGGAAGCGGGATCCCTGGAACGCAACCGGTTCACGCACTTCACCAGCTTCGCGAGACACGAGTCTATCAGGTCTCCGAGAGGCGGTAGAATCAGTGCCAAAATAGGTGGCAGAACCAACATCACGAGTGATGGCACCTACGCCCACTCCAACAAGCTTATGTTAACACTTCCAGCTGATGATAGTCTGCTGACCGAGCCGGATGGCGTTCTCCAGCACGCTGGCCGCGGCCAGCCACCGTGAGATATTGCACCACACTCCGGTACACATTGGGATTCCTACCCGCGGTATATCGCCTCAGCCACTCGATCTGTTTGTCGCCCGGACGGTCGGGCTTGACCCAGGGCCTTGCGAACGTCAGGGACGGAGCAGCAACAATACTCAAGAATCCCAGAATGGGCCGCTCGCGAAGCCGCTGCAGGCGTTCCTCGATTGTCGGTGCCACCGTCCCCAGAATCGATGGGGTGGGGCCCAGAAGCACCGTCGCCGAGGCTCTGCCCCTTTTGTTCACCTCCCAGCGCCTTCGAGCAGGCACTCGGCCATGTGCGTGCAGGTGTTGGGGTCGGAGGTGTTGTGGGCGGCGAGCGAGGCATTGTAGTATGTGTGGCAGTCGGTCGCTTGGTGTTTAGGGTGGTCCGGTAGAAGGGGTAGAAGTTTTGGAGCTGAGCTGCGCTGCTAGTTTCATAGAGTAGGGCTGTACTGTACACGAGGGCTGTGCATGGTTGCAATTAGTATTGACAGTGGTAAGGTCCGTCTTAATAGGTGTCGGGAGGGGATATTCACCAAGAATGAGTTTCATCGCGGTAGAGCATTATCATCATTGATGATTAAGAGATGCGAGGGATTTCTCTAGATTTACAAAAGGACCATCAGTGTGTATATATCAATGGGCCAGAAAAAGAACTGAGACGCGGAAGAGCGATTCCAAATCTATTAGGCTTCAGTGTTAACGCGGGGCTGGAGGGCGGCGGTAATTTCAGCACTCAGCGCCTAGCACCGTTCCCCTCTTTGAGGACCAGATGCAGCTGACGCGAAGCGTTTCAAGCTAAGAAATTCGCTTGGGGGTCAGTGTGTTGGCTATGCGCCCGGGATCGTATTTTCCGCACATGCCCTGCATTAGTTGGGATCCTGTGCTGTGGCTATACCAACAAAGTAATCTCCCGAAGGGATCCTCCTTTGCCTATACCTCTGTGCGCATCTCGGCCTGAAGCCGAGCACTAGATAAGATCCTTAGCAGATAAAAAATGATTTTGTAGAAAATTTCTTACTATAGATCTTTTTGTGTATTCCGACTAGTATCTGCTTTTCTTAATAGCGAAGAATCAAAAATGTGGCAGAAACACAATCCTGCCCAAGACAGCGGAACTTTTCAAAGTCCAATTGGAACAGGCGGGCCACACGTTGAAGACGATATAGGTAATGTCATCGTACACAATAGCAGTTGGCACTGACTGTGGAGAAGTGTCGAACCCATATTTCTCAAAGGGCAGTCATTGGATGATTGAGGGACTTTGGACTCACTCTTTGACAAGAAGCTGAAGTGCACCAGGGTGCCACCTATCCAAGTCATCGGTCTATCTGACGGCGGCCCTGGGCCTTCGTGCCTGAGGTGCCAGCTCACTGCCCATCCGGCTGCCTTAGAAAAGTATGACACAAGCCAGCCGTCATGTTCATCAAAGACGGAAGGGCTTAAATTCTAGCTGTTATGCATAGCAATTCCGACCAATGGCGATTCGACTCGATCATTGATCAGAAGTACCAAGCCAGACTATATCAATGCTCAATAGTACCAATTTCTCATTTTATTTCCTTAATTTATACGACAGTGACAAAAGCTTCTGCCAACTAGCGCTTTCGGATGGAACAAGGTCAAACAGCAACGATGCTTCACAAGCCTGATGACGTGCCTGTCAAGGACGTTGTTCGCATCGCCTCATATCACCGGCGTGACTTCGATCTCGCTGTTGTTCGCACAAATCCTTCTGACCATGACCAGATACGAAGCTCACTGCTTTCACCTAACCATGCTACTACCTCAACTCTGGGACAACTTGACATCTTGCCAACTGAACTAGCTCACGAGATATGCCTCTACCTTGATATCCGGTCATTGTTTCGCTTTCGGCAAGTCAACCGCCGTGCCCAACAAATTGTCAGTTCAATTCGTCTATACAGAGCGGTGATCAATCATGCTCTCGAGGCCTTCTGTATTATACTACGGACCAATATCGCGCCTTGGTTCACACTCTCGGATCTATTCAAGGTACTGTGTACGAAGTATTGTCAATTCTGCGGTGATTTTGGCGGGTTCATCTTTCTTCCGTCGTTTGCGAGATGCTGTTTCACTTGTATTCGGGAAGAGAACCTCCCCCGCGTCTTACCTCTTTCCGTCCTTAAACAACGCCTCAAACCGCGTTCCGGCCGCCTACTCGGGTTTATACCCACAGTGAGAACTTTACCTGGAATATACTCAATGGACGAAACGCCGCGAAAGAGAAGAACTAAAGTTGTACTACGGGATTCTGTTAACACGCTTTATCTGTCTGATTACTCCGAAAATACGCGAGTCAAACGATCACAAAGCACATCGCTCCTGCCCTACATGGTAACAACATCCTTACCGTATTTCGATCCTAAGAGCGGTGCTGTTCAGAGAGGAATCTCATGTAGTGGGTGTCAGGTCGCATTGGAAAAAGATTTATATACGTCAGGAGTTAAACCAGCTGCCTGCGCCTTGAGAGACAAAGTGTACTCGCATGACGATTTCAGGAACCACTTTCAGAATTGTCACGAGGCTAGGAAGTTATGGGAATTAAGTGGACAGGGTACAAGCATTATCAATGTCCCCGAGTTTGTTAGACGTCGAGGCTACTTTAAGAAAAGAGATGTTATGATGTCTTTCCATAGTCAATAGGATTCTTTCATAATACTTCTCCAAGAAGCATAAAATGCTACTGAGTTAGTATCAAGAGATAATCTACCTGATATTGTTATGCAACTATTCCTCCTAATAACAATAAAGAGAAGTTCTTGCTAGTTAGGCAAAACAACCTTATCACGAGCATCTTTAGAATTGACTTGATTGCCATGTAAGCCTCGCCGACTGTTGATCCTTAACACTCCTCTTATCCTTGATAGAGCCTTCCCTCAACTTGACGGGCGTTTGGCCGGCACCAACCCCTTCATCCAGCTTGGCGGACGATTGTGCTCTATTTCGGTTGCTCAATCCTGCAACTCCTCATCCGAGAAGTACTTCTTCGGAGCATCAGGAATAACGAGATGGCCTCGACAGTGATTTGGAGATTCCCTTCCCAATTCCTTCCTCACCGGCTTGCATTTCACATTGGTCCCTTGACGATTGGTGCACTGGACGAATTCCATTTCTTTTTTACATCCACAGGTGTACTGTACGTACAAGGACGTGCACATGATGCCAATCTATTAATGTCAACCCTAATGATTCAGGCGGCTGTAAATTGGAGCTTACCACAAGCTGGATGCGCTTGGTTAGAGAAGTGAGGCTAGGATTTGGATAGTATGGTAGAAGTAAGGTGAATTTTTCTTTTTGGTCAAATGGAGAAATAGCAAAGAAAGATGGACAAAACTGGTTGATTGCCTTTGAGTCCTGGCTATCCAGGTCTCTAATTATGCATGCCGTGAACAGAATATGCATTCAACTGCTCTTTGAGCCACTAGCGATAGCTAAAGGTCAGGAAAATCGCTCGTCTTCTCGCCTTTGCTTGTAGGAAGATTGTTTGGTTGCTGACATGCTTCGACCTTTCCCATTCTTTCCATTCTTTCTATTCTTTCCATTCTTTCCATTCTTTCCATTCTTTCCATTCTTTCCATTCTTTCCATTCTTTCCATTCTTTCCATTCTTTCCATTCTTTCCATTCT